ATTTGATAGATTCCAGGGCTTATTTAACAAAAAAAATATTACTTTAAAATCATATAATTTGGATTAAATCTTTGACAAACATTAATAATAAATGATAAAGGATTTATTTTCAATTCCTCTTGCTGTCCTCTCGGATACTTGAAGCAAAATGTTTATTTTATATTATTTTTATTGTGGTTTGTTTACTGAAGAAGGCTTCTTGCCAACATGTTTTTTTTGTTGTTGCATACTCTTTTTTTCTGATTTTCCCATACTTGGTTCGGCTCATTTTTTTGGATTAAATATTTACATTCTGATGTTAATGAAGGAGGCATTTTGACCTATATTTCCATATATTTTTATGAATTATAATTATACATTAAGTCATAAGTTTCTTTTTATTTTAAGTAAATCAAGTCAGATATATGAAATATTATGGTAAAAAATAATCCTACGAAATCATTTCTCCATAAAAAATGGTAATTGTTTTTTGCCACGTATCAGTGTCTTGAAATTCTTCCATGACTACTACACCTGTCCATTACCCAAAAAATATTTATCCTCACTACCTACCTCTCAATGTACCCAAAACCATATTTCTCATGACAACTGTACCTCTCAATGTACCCAAAACCATATTTCTCATGACTACTGTACCTCTCAATGTACCCAAAACCATATTTCTCATGACTACTGTACCTCTCAATGTACCCAAAACAATATTTCTCATGACTACTGTACCTCTCAATGTACCCAAAACAATATTTTAAGGATTTATGTATTATTTAAAATTGTCTATACATTCTTAATTCTTTGACTTCAGTGACTTTAGACGTTTGTTACGAATTTTATATGTCAGTGCGACTGTAAAAATAAAAGCATTTCAACCAAATTTAAACAAATACTAAACAAATTTAAATCAATATTCTCATCAAATTAAGATTCTGATCTCTATACCTACTATTTTTCATTCGTAATTGTGGCTTTCACTTTAGTCTTAAGTCAAGAAACAGTCATGCAGTCCAGCTGCTTTGAGTGAGAGTGGCAATGTAATCATGTATTACGTACCGGTACTTAATTTTAGTTATCATTTAATGTTAAACATTAATTTAATTGATATGTAAATTAGAAGGCCTAATAACTAGAATGAACTTAATGTATAAGTGAGAACACACTACACTATATAATCAAATCAGTAAATAACTGCCTTAAAAAATTAAACTTAGTTATTTTAGTTACTAGTAGTAAAAGTAGTTAGTTCGTCTATCAGTATCTGGCGTATGCCTACTAATTTTTGTCTTGACAGTCTTGTAGTAGTTCTTTGTAATAATTTAATAATTACTATTACTATAGTGGCTTGGTAATTGGAATTGTTTCTCCACAACATTTTGTTTCTTAAATCAAGTTCAAACTAAACATAAATTACTTGCATTTGCAGTTTACTTAAGATTTGATCATGAAAATACCAAAATAAAATGGTGAAATATCATTTAAGCAAAGGTAAATATTTTTACATTGCAAAAAACTGAATCTAGAAAATAGCTTAAGTTTAATTAATTTATAACTTATGCATATGGTTGGTGACAACTGTGATATGGCTATGGACCATGGAGTATGGTGCCTATGGCTATGGACTGGTATGGCATGTGCTTCAGGCTTCATATTATTCATAATTTGGCACAGTACCCCAAACATCCCCACCTCTAACTAATTTTAGCTTTTTATCTTGTAAATAACTTAAATACTTATCATTAAAGTCAAACAAAAAATAGTTTTAGAAAATTTATTTTAAACTGCAAACGAATTCTTTATCCTAAGAAAAGCTCATAAAATTATATTGTTTACTGTTTATTAGGTTTTTTTTGTTGTTTTTTTAAAAAAACTTTTGGTTTAAATGAGTTCTCAATTAGAGGTTACTCAAAAAATTGTTTTATCCATCAAGGTGACAGCAGTTAGTGCCCATACTTTCATTAAGGAATTAGGAACAGCAACCAAGTTAATACGATTTTTAAACAAGGTGACAAGAGTTAACTTTCTTGAATCGTATAAATAAAATTATAATTAATGAATGGGACGTTATCGCTAGCGTCTTTAAAGACATGTTTATTTTAATGGTTGCGTCCCTTTGAAAAATGTCGCAAAAGTCGAGGGAAAAAAACAACCCAACCCATCATTTTGGAGAAAGACATTTATTTTATGCAGACTTTTACTTTTATACTGTTTTGCACGTTTTACTTTTTCTGTAAATAATTTAAAATGTTTAAATATTTGAAAACTAGAAGTAGAAGTATATGACCTTTATGCTAATGAACAGAATTTTTTCTGGAATATCCTGTACATTATTATCAATTTTGTTTTGTAAATTTCATTTTAAAGCATGATTTATTTTTATGTCAATAATTTTTCAAGAAAATATTAAAAATACTTTTTGTTTTATATATTTATAAATTGATATGAAATTTATAACATTTTTTCCGCTATACTATGATTGTTTAAATTATTAAGATTTGTAAAAAAAAATTGAGGTTACTCTGTACCTTACTAGTAAGGTCAGTTATTTTATAATTATTAGAATTAATAACAATTACAAGCCTTTGATTTGGGAACAAGTTTCATCCCCAACCTTGACTTTCAGGACCTCATTCATAATTTATCATTTTAAAGTTATACTTCTGTGATGTTCCACTTGGTTCTTTTATCCACTAACACTGGGTTTTCTTTTTCCCAAATGGATCATTTTATAAAATGGAAAAATTCTTATTCAATTCAATTATTTCGGTACTCTAATCAAAAGTCTAAGACTCTTGGTGAATCAAAAGCATATTGTGAACACAAATTTTTCATTGCTGCAAACTGTTTTTTGGTGTAAATAAATTTAATGCTTTAGTGAGACTAATTTATTTTACTCTTTGAAATTTAAAAAAAATATTCATAACTAGCAATCATTTGAAGAGAGAATATTTTTATAAGTATTTAATGGCTTCGTTGGGACATATATATTACCTCTACCCTACCCCCCCCCCCCCCCGTTTTTAAGTTCAAAACACCTCTTCAAAACCAAATATCTTGTTATAGGTGAAATTCCTCATGATTCTTATCGTAATCAACAAAAACTTGGACTTTATTTCTCATATGCTTTTGTTAATTCATTCATTCAGTCAAAGCCACATCTTGTCCATTCACTAAAAACATTCTATGTTAGTGTTGTAATAAACATGAATTTATTATTATACTTTCCATTCAGTGTTTTATAGCGTCTTAGTCAGAGACTTGTTTGTTAGTAACTTTTACAGTGATGTGTCACTAGTTAGTTTTTTATTCAGCATTGTCAAGTCACATGTCACTAGCGATTTGTTTTTTAGTCACGTGTCTAGTTATATGTCACAAGTGATTTAATTGCTAGTCCTATGTCTAATGATGTGTCACTAATGACTTGTTTGCTAGTCCTTTGTGTAGTGATGTGTCACTAGTAATTTGTGATAGTCAATTGTCTAGTCATGTGTCACTAGTGATTTGTTTCCTAGTTCTTTGTCCAGTGATATGTTACTAGTGATTTGTTTGTTAGTCAAATGTCTTGCCATGTGCCACTAATGATACTTTTGCTAGTCCTTTGTCTAGTGATGTTTGAAATGAATGCATAAGTTGAATCATTGTCTAGTGATGTTTGAAATGAATGCATACATTGAATCATTTCTAGTGATGTTTGAAATGAATGCATAAGTTGAATCATTGTCTAGTGATGTTTGAAATGAAAGCATACATTGAATCATTTCTAGTGATGTTTGAAATGAATGCATAAGTTGAATCATTGTCTAGTTATGTTATTAAAATTATTTAAAATTTATGTTAATAAATTAATTTAGCTTTAGATTGTGACAGCATCAAGTCAACTGGATATACATTAATATAATGTGCCGACAGGGTTAGAGAAATTCATTCAGCTCATTGGTCTCTTTGCACCGACTGGTCAAGTCAAGTAATACATTTTATCATTCAGTCTTCTTGCCAAGACAGGTTAGGGCAGTGTTTCCCAACCTTTTTTGTGCCATGCCCCACCTAAGCCTTTCTAAAATTCGTATGCCCCCCCATGTATCAATTACATAATTTTTAATATTCAAAATAGGGTTGTTCAATGAAGAAACTTAAATGATAGGTTTTAGGAAGAAATCGCTAGGAAATTGGTGAGGAAACATAGAATGTAAATTTTCAAATAATATAATGGAGAACTGAAATTCAAGCACAAAATAATTTTAATGAAAGATTTTTCTATATTATTTTAATTATTAGTAATTATTTATTGCTTAAGTTAAATTTATTGATATGTTTGTGAAAAGAGATTTTATGTCAGGTTCCAGATGAGTTGGCTTCAGTCTCAAGTCTCCCCGTTGTGTTATATCCAGCCGATTTCTTTTTTTCAATCTTTTTATTTTTTGCAGCAAATCATTTTTGGCACTAAATCCACATTCAGCTAAATATATTGCACATTTGGTTGATTTTGGACATTTGATTTCTCTATCCACACAAAGCCATGCCATCGCTCCTTTTATATTAAATAAAGTTTAACGGACTCATCATTTTGTATTTCTGCGAGTTCATCTCGAGACTGCATAGTTGAAATATCAGTCAAAGCCCCTAACATCATTCACGTTGGAAAATCAATTTGCTTCAAATCAGAAAATCTTTTAAATCAGCCAATAGAATTTTCAGATGATCGATAACAAGTATAGAGGTATCAGTCAATTCACATCTTTGGAGCCAATAAAACATTTCAAAATTTGTTTCAATAGAGGTAATGAAACCAAATACCTTTGCTTTTGCATCCAAAATAGTTATGTTTGTTCCTTGAAGTTTATTATTTAATATATTTAGTTTCTCAAAGATATTGGCTAAATAATTCACAAATGCTTTACCATCTTTCACCAATTTAGCAGCCATTTTTCTTGCTCATCATATAAGGAGCACCATCTGCAGCACAAGATGTTGTATTTTTCATTGGTATATTACTGATGTCTAAGTCATTTTTAGCTTATTAATATATCTTTGGCGGTAGCGGTGCTTTCTAATGATTTACAGAACAACATTTCTTCAGCAAAATGCCCTTTATCAATAGATCGTACGTAAGTTATTGATACAGCCTGACTGTCTCTCAAAGCAGAATCATCCATTTCCACTGAGGGTTTTCTTGTTCTCAGCTTTTAAGTAAGTTGTATTTCAATATCTTCACTCATTTCGTCTGCTAACAGTATTGTTACTGAAGGGCATAACTGTCACGCCTTGTAATCTTTTTCCAGAAAAGTTTTAAGAAATGCTGATAGTGATGGTTTGATTAAATTCTTTCCTATACTGGTAGTATGATTTTCCCCAGATTTAGCGATGAGTAAGGAAATTTTCTAACTCGCCTCAAGAGTACGATTGACTGTTGCAGTTTGAGCAGTAAATAGAGACTTTAATGTTTCTATTTTTTCACAATTTCACTTTTAAGTTTGAAAGTAGTTCAGATCTGACTTAATATGAGCACTATGTTTGGCTTTCAAATGTGCCTCAAGACGACCTCGTTTCATTGATTCGTTCCCTTTTCATTGATTCTACCTTGTTTCATTTAATTCGTTGGTAAAGCATTGTTGTCCCCAGCCAGGGGAGGGGAGCATATCAGTTACACGCCAGCCAGGACAGGGTATCAGTTACAGGCAAGCCAAGACAGGGTACAGTTACATGCCAGCCAGGACAGAGGAGGGTATCAGTTACACATGATGTCAATTTCTACTAGCATACAGTTGTGGTGGTTAAAAATAACTGTGTTTAAGTGAAAATTCAAGCTATACATCATACTAGTGTAGAAAGGAGCTATAAATAGCTCTAAGCGGAAGTTTAAAAATAAGTCAAGCCCTACATATATAAATATAATAATTATTCTTTGCAAACTGAGACTAGTGACTACTTTTAAAATCATCGGATTTTTACAACATTTTTAACAAACGCTTATTTTAAATTGTGACCTTAACGATTCTCTTTTTAAACTACAAGTTAAATCATAGTAGACGGTTGGTTTTAAAATTCTAGACAGCTCATTTCCAAATTGCCCCCCTAAACAATCAAATTGCCCCCCTGTGGGGTGTGGGCCCAACGTTGGGAAACACCGGGTTAGGGTAATTAAGAATATAATTTTAGGTTTAAAACCAGTTAGGTTAAAGTTGAGTGATTGAAACAATGAACAGGTTGAGAGAAAAGTCTAAAAATTTTAGTTGTGTGTTAGTAGAAATTTATTTAATTAATAATTTGGTAAACTTGTTTACTTGGGTTGAGACATTCAGGTGTCGTCCAAGATATGGTGTGTTGTACATTCAGGTGTCAGCCAAGATGGTATGTTGTACATTCAGGTGTCAGCCAAGATGGTGTGTTGTACATTCAGGTGTCAGCCAAGATGATATAGTGTACATTCAGCTGTCAGCCAAGATGTTATGTTGTACATTCAGGTATCAGCCAAGATGGTATGCTGTACATTTGGGTGTTGGCCAAGATGGTGTGGTGGATATTCAGATGTCAGCCATGATATGTTGTAAATTCAGATGTCATCCAAGATATGGTGTAAATTCAGGTGTCAGCCAAGATGATATTGTGTACATTTAGCTGTCAGCCAAGATGATATTGTGTACATTCAGGTGTCAGCCAAGATGGTATAGTGTACATTCATGTGTCAGCCAAGATGTTATGTTGCACATTCAGCTGTCAGCCAAGATGGTATGGTGTACATTCAGCTGTCAGCCAAGATGGTACGGTGTACATTCAGCTGTCAGCCAAGATGGTACAGTGTACATTCAGCCAAGATGGTACGGTGTACATTCAGCCATCAGCCAAGATGGTACGGTGTACATTCAGCTGTCAGCCAAGATGGTACGGTGTACATTCAGCTGTCAGCCAAGATGTTACAGTGTACATTCAGCCAAGATGGTATGGTGTACATTCAGCTGTCAGCCAAGATGGTATGGTGTACATTCAGCTGTCAGTCAAGAATGTATGATTTAGGTTTACTGAAACATCTTGCAATCCACTGTCAAGTCACTAGTGTAGAATGTATAAACCTGGAAGTGAAAGAAAAAAAATTACAATCAAATTTTTAACATTCCTTTGCAATTTTATTTTTTATTTATCTCCTTCAAGTATTTCAATACTTCAGTTTTGCTGCAAGACTCATTTCAAATGAAAATAGGAATTGGTTATTGTTACATGTAAAACAAAGAGGTCACTGTCTACATAAGAGTTATGCATCTGAAACAAATATAAGAAAATACAAATTAGTAAAACTAAAGCAAAAAAGGTACTCCTATATTATGATCTGACTCATGAGAAATTGTAGATATAATTAATATAATGCACAGGGTAGTGAAAGGAATTATAAAGCACAGGGTGGGGAAAGAAAATATAAAGTCCAGGGTGGGAAAAACTTTCAGCTAATGACATATATAGTCAGCTCTCCTTACAAAATGTTTGTTTATTTTCCATGTTTTCACCCCCCCACAACTCTTTTTTGGGTTGTTTTTGCTTTAAGATTTTGCGGGTCTTCCAGCACATACTGGTTAAGAGCCCCTGTTTAAGTGCAGATATGTTGATAGGAAGATAACTGATTACATAGTAAATGTCATGTACCACGGACCATGTGTTTCAAGATAACTGATTACATAGTAAATGTCATGTACCACGGACCATGTCTTTCAAGATAACACAAGAAGAGAAATAATAAAGGGTTATTTTAAAATTAAGACAAAAATTCTTTAGTAACACCAAGACTCCCAAGCCTTCAAAACACAAAAATTCTTTAGTAACACCAAGACACCCAAGCCTTCAAAGGACAAAAATTCTTTAGTAACACCAAGACTCCCAAGCCTTCAAAGGACAAAAATTCTTTAGTAACACCAAGACTCCCAAGCCTTCAAAACACAAAAATTCTTTAGTAACACCAAGACTCCCAAGCCTTCAAAACACAAAAATTCTTTAGTAACACCAAGACTCCCAAGCCTTCAAAACACAAAAATTCTTTAGTAACAGTAACACCAAGACTCCCAAGCCTTCAAAGGACAAAAATTCTTTAGTAACACCAAGACTCCCAAGCCTTCAAAACACAAAAATTCTTTAGTAACACCAAGACTCCCAAGCCTTCAAAACACAAAAATTCTTTAGTAACACCAAGACACCCAAGTCTTCAAAACACAAAAATTCTTTAGTAACACCAAGACTCCCAGGCCTTCAAATTTCCTGCACATTTGTATGTTTTGTGCAACTGAAATTTTGTTAAAGAATTTGTAAAGAAAAAAAAAATTGTCATAAAGAGAAGCATATACTGTACTACTCATTAATTGATTTTTAATATATAAAAAATGAAAATAAATCATAATGTGCTGTAATTTTGTAATTTCTCGTCATTAAATGTAAGATTACTTGACTTGTCATTACATGTAAGATTAGTGGACTTGTCATTAAATGTAAAATTCCTAGACTTATCATTAAATATAAAATTACTTGACTTGACATTAAATGTAAGATTACTTGACTTGACTTGTCATTAAATGTAAGATTACTTGACTTGTATTTCAAGTATCGATTTAACAAACCTTTTCATTTAAAAAAAAATTACACTAGCTAATATAGCCGGCGTTGCCCAGGATAGCATTAGGAAAAAATAACTTCTACAGCCTTTCAATTAGAATTGAAAAAAAAACAACCCCAAACCACGGCTATAGTCAAAACATCAAAGAATTAACGTGTCTCCTGGAAAAACAGGTGTGTCATAACTTTGTTTCCCCAATGGGATCCTGTATTCCAATGACATTCTGTTTCCCAAAGGGATCATAATGGGATTCCGATCCTTGTGGGTTCCCAATCCCATCGGGATCTTGATCCTGGTGAGATCCCGGTACTGGTGGGATCCCATCAGTATACTGATCTCAGTGGGATCCTGTTTTCCGATGGGATCAATTTCCCGGTCGAATCCTGACACATTGGATCCCAATCCCGGTGGGATCATGGTCCCGTTGGGATCTCAATATCTGTGGGTCTCCTGATCCCGTTTGCCGTGTAATCATGTTTTCTGGTGGGATCCCATGTCCCGCTGGGATCCTCTTCTCCGATGGGATCCTGTTTTCTGACAGGATCCTGATTTGATCCTGTTACCCGATGGGATCGTGTCATCAGTGGGTTCCAGTTTTTGTTGGATCTCATTCCCCTTTAGGATCCTGTTCCTCAGGTGGGATCAAGTTACGAGTGGGATTTAGTTCTGGGTGGGATTCCGAAGGGTGTGTTAAAGAAAATTTGCAGATGTGCACAACTTAGAGGTGCCAATTACAGATGTGCACAACTTAGAGGTGCCAAATACAGATGTGCACAATTTAGAGGTGCCAATTACAGATGTGCACAACTTAGTGGTGTAAATTACAGATGTGCACAACTTAGAGGTGCCAATTACAGATGTGCACAATTTAGATGTGCCAATTACAGATGTGCACAATTAGAGGTGCCAATTACAGATGTGCACAACTTAGAGGTGCAAATTACAGATGTGCACAATTTAGAGGTGCCAATTACACATGTGCACAACTTAGATGTACAAATTAAAGATGTGCACAATTTAGAGGTGCCAATTACACATGTGCACAACTTAGAGGTGCAAATTACAGATGTGCACAATTTAGAGGTGATTATTATTAATTCCCCCCTCTGGAAATCGACAACCATTTCTTTTGAAAACTTTCATTGCACCAACTGATAAAGCTAGTAAGTTGCGGCATAAACTTTCCCCTTCAGATATCAAGCAAATGATGGGTGGTATTGTAAACAAATTTAATGATTGGAGCGGTGATGCTCTGGTGCTGGGTATTATTTGTATATATTGTATACAGGTCATGGGGAGAGAATATATCGTATACAGGGCAGGGGAGAAAATATAGTGTATACAGGACAGGGGAGATTATATATCGTATACTGGACAGGGAGAGAACACGACCTTGTGGTGCCCAGGTACATATTTCTTTAGTTAATATTTGGTCATTCACCTTGACATGTTATGGGTGATTTATTAAAAACTTCAGTATCCTCGCTGGAATATTTAAATCTAACGAATAAAGCTTTTTAATCTTAAGATGTGGTTGGATAGTGTTCAATGCTGATGAGAGGTCAAAGATGTGGTTGGATAGTGTTCAATGCTGATGAGCGGTCAAAGATGTGATTGGATAGTGTTCAATGCTGATGAGCGGTCAAAGATGTGGTTGGATAGTGTTCAATGCTGATGAGAAGTCAAAGATGTGGTTGGATAGTATTCAATGCTGAA